CTTTTTGTATTTGAAATTGTTATTTTTGTATTGACTTTGTATCTTTTTGTGTGTGATCAAATAACATCACACTGATTTTTCTTAACTGGCTCTGAAAAGGATTTATACGTGAATGTTATAGCGTTTACAAATGGCGGGAAAGATACTGGGATTTAAAAAAAAAATTTATACTAATAATGGCGGCAATCAGCGACTTGTGGCGGTGATCAGTGACTTATGGCGGCAATCAGCAACTTATGGCAGGACTGCGGCGGACATTCTGACACTGGAGGGAGCATACTTGGGGTCATTGACATCCCCAGTGACACCAATACTGTGATCAGTGCAATAAAAAAAAGCACTGACACTGTACTAATAGCACTGGGGAGGAAGGGGTTAGCTTTTTTTATTCATTGAAAGAGTTAACTGTGTGAGGGGAGTGTTTTATTAGGGGGCAGGGGTGTGTACTGCACGGGAACGCACTGATGCGGAGAAATAAACTCTTCTCTCCAAGTCAGCATGTCAGGAGCTGACAGGGAACTGACAGAAAGCAGAAGTGCAGTGTAAACACTGCAGCCATGCTCTCTGTCAGTGATTGCTGCTAATCACAGGGACATGGCTGGTAATGACCAGCCGTGACCCGCCAACTGACACCCACGGCCACGTTCGGTGGCGCAGGTAGGGCGGTGGCGCACCTCGCGCACCCCCCTCTACCGGTTTTGCAAAAGCACCTTTTAAAACGTGGTTTTGCACAGCCGTGCTGCCCTGCCACCGTATTTCTACAGTGGCTGTTTGGCAAGTGGTTAATCAAATAAAATCTGTTGAATCCTCATGAAGTCCATTCAAAAAGTCCATATCAAATATGATCCTCAATCAATGAAGTCATGAAATTTTCTTTCACCAGTGTGATATCCAGTGCTTTAAACACCCCATCAAAATGCACACTCACCAAAAACTGGTGATAAACCAGCGTATCTGTAAAAATCCAGCACTCCACCACTGTACTCCAACTTATGGGATATCTAAAATACTCCATATAGTACATGTAGATAGAAAGAACACTCGCCATAGTGCAAATAACGTATAAAATTTATTTCAATAAATCCCCCTTATAAAACCGCACTCACAATGAGTCAAAATAAACAAGCGTTTTGTTAATAGGAGCACAGAGCTCTCAATCCAGCGTCTCACCAGCCTGCCTGCAACCAAGATGGCGTTGTTGCGGTCACGTGGTCCAGACATGTGGGTTGGCGTGCGTGGTGACGTCACCACCTAGCCACGCCTTAACGCATTTTGTCATACGACTTTGTAAGGGAAAATGGAGCCATTTTAGATATAAATATGAAATACATTGGTATTAATTAGATGGCCTAACAACCTATTTATTTTTCCTTGTTTCTGTATGAGAAACAACAGTTTCACACCTCATGTTCTCTCCTGCTGGCTCAACATTTGGCACTTCACTTCTACATCCAGTTCAGCAGCATTCACACCACCTATTGTCTACAAGATTATTGTCACAGCCTTTGAAGACCTGTTAAACCCAAAGGACACTGGAAGTAACAATAACATGTGGACAACTATTCGCATCTCAATGAGTTACACCAAAGGACACTGGAAGTAACAGTAACATGTGGACAACTATTCGCATCTCAATGAGTTACACCAAAGATACAGATGACTCTTCAAAGAAAGATCAGATAGCTAGGTACCACCCACTGTAGAGCATATAAATTGTATTAGAAAGCCCTAGTTAGACAGAGTATTACTTTGAATCCAACACCATGTATTGTTCTGCTCTCCCTGCATGGAGGTCTAGCTACATGCTTGTGTAATAAACATCTACTTTTCAATCCGGCTTCAGCAGTCAAAATGTTACTGAAACCCATGTGTTTTGGGTTTCCCCGTCAATTTGGTCCTTCGAGCCGGAAAGGGAAACTCTACAGACATTGTTTAGACACAGAAGGACAGCACAACCTGGGAAGTCATCTCTGCCGGCATTGGTAAGCTAACTTTCTGCTTACTATGATTTCCCCTTGTGCTGTGCCTTTTTCTGTAAAGTCGATGTTGTGGAAAAGTACCCTTTCCAAGAACCTTGACTGTTGAATTTTTTCTTTTCTTTTTACTTTCCATACTATCTGTTACTTATTACTGTCCTTTTGCATGAATGTGTTCTGCTGAATGATTTGCCCTATTTCAGGTGCAATGTGTGGTTAGGTAGGATCTCTGCAGTTCCTGTTACCGGGCGACTGGGCAGATCAGGGATCTGGTCTTCTGACTCAAAATATCTTGAGGTATGACTGATAAGGTACTAAGTGTGGTGGGGCCATGTGGTCCATTGTCATGGGTGACAGGCTGCTTAAAAAACAGCACTGCTTGAAACATTAGTACCAGTTTTGATTGATGAAGCTTTCTTCTTTTTTTCTCTTCTGCGTGGCTCTCCATAAAGTCACACCATAAGTAGAGGAACTGTCTTTTTTATTCTACAGCAGTGTCTATAAACTGATGAGGAAGACTTTTTAGGGAAACAGAGCTGTCAGATAGTATACTTTCTCTAAAAAGTTCTATAATCTTTTCCTATTGAAAATTTTGGTTGCTTTGGTTGTACTGTATTGATCTCTTTATGCGCTGCCATGTGTTATACATATAAGTGGACTGTCTTTTTTTGTAGAAAGAAGCACTTTTTTTGTTTTTTTTTACATTCTTGAACTGTTTTAGTCTGTAGGACTGAATGCCCTCTTCAGTTTAGGTGACTGAAGTGTTCATGTCCAGTCTGTGTGCCTGTTCAATCTGTGTGACTGATTGATACATAGTATACTCTGGTATATATCCTTGGCAGGATTGGGGGCCAGATATACGGTTCCTGCTATTATCTAGGTATATCGTACCTTTGCATATGATCGTGGGGGCCTAGTAATAGATGAATTCGACATTATCTAGGTATATCGTATCTTGCATTTGATCGTGGGGGCTTAGTAATAGATTAATTCTTGAGGAAGTCTCACCACCATGTGAGATGGGGAATTGTACCACCGTGTACACCCCAAATGGGTATCTGTGTGATACCACCGGGAGTTCCTCCTGGATTGCCAAAGTACATGATATATAACTTTGGAACAGGAGTGGCTGAATCCCTCAAGCAATGGAACCAAGGCACACAGGGGTTTAGTACCCCTAGAAGGGAAATTTCACCTTAAACTCTTGAAAGAATGTAAAAAAAAAAAAAAATGTGTAAAAAAAAGTACTACCCAGATACTTTCAAAGATAAGACAATTGAACAAATGTGAGTGAACAATGTGAACAAAATTTTTGAAAGGAAATAAAAGAGACTTATAGTCCTATATAAGAACAAGAACCTGAAAATATTGCCAAATGACTGTAAGCACATGATAGCTTATACTACCGCCCTGCCTACTTACAATGACCTAACTAGAGGCATGGGTTAAAGCCTACTGTAAGTATGAACACCAGATAAAACAAAAAAAAAAAGGGAAATAATGAGATCTATATATAGATTTGAGGTACAGTCCAGAAAAAAATAAGAGAGAGAATGCAGCCTTATTAGAGAAATGTGCCCATATTTTTGTCTAGAATTTAAGCAAGCTAATTGTGAGAGTATGTTGTTGTGTTAAGATGTGTGAGATCCATGGATTGTATGTTGTATTGTCTGGGTTGACTGTATTAATGTGCCTAAAGTGCCGTGTCAGCAAAATATTTGACAATACTGATTCAATATCAGTGGCATAATGATTTGTTTTGTGTTTGTTACTTATGTTTTAAGGTGATGTGATGTTGCAAGTAAAGGTAACGAGTCAATACCATGTTGGTCATGGCAACATCTAGAAGATAAACACATTTTGACCTTAAAATTACTAAATTTTGATTTTTGACTCTTAGAAGTTTAAACAAATTGAGACATGATTGGGGTAACTAATCACTTAAAATCGTAAAGCTATAAGTGTATTAAATTTAATGTAGGGAGAAAAAAAACCATGTAAAATATACAGCTCATTGTAAAAAAATTAATCTAAGAAAATTGTAAGTTGAAAATTGTGAAACACTTGCTGGGGTAACTATTGGTTTGGACATTTAAGCCACACCCACTGCCATTATTAAAATTGTTAAAAAGTCAAGGGGAATGTTAAAAGAGCCGTGACATGTAAAAAGCATTTTTCACTGATCTTATTTAAAGTTTACAAATCAGGAGTGCTCTCTCATATGTTTAAGATGCTGACAGCCCACTGAGTGCTGACCCCCCCTTTTTCTTTAACACATGTTAATTGCATGGTTTGTGAATGAGAACAGCTGCATGGTCATGCAAATTTACTGAGCCAAGTGAACTCTAAAAGGAAATCAGATGTTAATAGTGAATTGTTATGTGTATTCACTATCTTGTGTTTGTTTGTTTTTTAGAAGATACAGTTTTGGAAGTTTCCAATGTGTTCAGTATGGTGAAGTATAACTCTTGCACACAAATGGTAGCTTACTAAAAGGTTTACATTGAGCTGCTCATTTTTAACCATGGTGTATAATAATAATTTTTTTCTTAATGGTATACCATAAACAAAATCCACGTGGTAATAATTCATTTGACACTATGATACTTGTATCCCTTAACAATGTTCTTTAACCACAAGCCTACAGGGCACTTATACCCCCTTCCTGCCCAGGCCAATTTCCACCTTTCAGTGCTGTTGCACTTTGAATGACAATTGTGCGGTCATGCAACACTGTACCCATATGATATTTTTATCATTTTTTTTGTGACAGATAGAGCTTTATTTGGTGGTATTTAATCACCTCTGGGTTTTTTATTTTTTCTTAAACAAACCAAAAACCACTGAACATAAAAAAAAAAAATGTTTTTTCTTAGTTTTTGTTATAAAAGTTTGTAAATAAGTGATTTTTCTCCTTCACTGATGTACGCTAATGAGGCTGCAGTGATGGGCACTGATAGGCTGCACTGATGGACACTGATAGGTGGCACTGATGGGTACTGATGAGGAGGCACTGGTAGGTGGCACTGATGGGCATTGACAGGCATCACTGATGGGCACTGAAAGGCAGCACTCATATATGGCACTGATAGGTGGGCACTGATAGGTGGCACTGATAGGCGGCACTGACTGGCACTGTTAGGCGGCACTGATAGGCAGCACTGACAGGCACTGATAGGTGGCACTGACTGGCATTGATAGGTGGTAGTGACTGGCACTGATGGGTGACACTGAAAGGCAGCTCAGATGGGCACTGATATGTGGCATTGATGTGGCACTGATGGGCACTGAAATGTGGCACTGATGGGCACTGGCAGGTGGCATGGATGAGCACAGAGCTGGCATTGATGGACATTGACAGGTGGCACTGCTGGGGCTACACTGATCATCAGGGCACACTGATCATCAGTGCCCTGATGATCTTTGTAGATGTCCCCTCAGCGTGCCAGCTCGTGAGGAGAGAAATGCTGATAACCAGCATTTCCCTGTTTACATGTGATCAGCTGTGATTGGACACAGCTGATCACATGACCGAGCCGACATCTTCGGCTCTCTCCGTAGATCTGTGATCCGCTGTATCCAAGGGACACAGCGCACTGCCGATCACCACGCTGTGCACTCCCGGAGCCGCACATGCACGGTGAGAATGGGAGGACGTCATATGATGTCCTCCCAGAACGAGAGAACCGCCTTGCGTCCGTCATATTACTATATGGCGGGCAGGAGGCGGTTAAATGTTCAAGTACCCTAACTTTGAGCTGTCTCTTGGTCCTTCCAATATCAATTAAACCACATGGGCATTCAAGGCCATACACCACAAAGGATGACTCACAAGTCAAAAAAGAGGAAATATTAAACTCTCTCCCATTAAATTTGGAAGTGAATTTAATTAATCCTTTAAACCTATGATCAACCATATTACAGGCTGAACACTTCTTACAGGAATAGAAACCTTTCCTATCTATGAACATTTTAATAGGTTTAGGAGGGTCTAAGATTTTTTGAACTATTTTATCTCCAAAAAGTTTGAGCCTTCCTATAAATAAATACAGGTTTATCAGGAGCTTGCTTCCCTAATGTTTTGTCCATCTTTAACCGTTTCAATACTGTGCAATTTTACACCTTCCTGCCCAGGCCATTTTTCAGGTTTCAGCGCTCTCACACTTTGAATGACAATTGCACGGTCATACAACACTGTACCCAAACTAAAATTTTATAATTTTCTTCACACAACTAGAGCTTTCTTTTGGTGGTATTTAATCACCGCTGGGGTTTTTATATTTTTTGCTAAATTAACAAAAAAAGACCAAAAATTTTGAAAAAAAATACATTTTTCTTTGTTTCTGTTATAAAAGTTTACAAATAAATAATTGTTCTTCATAAATTTAGGCCGAGATGTATTCTGCTACATGTCTTTGGTGAAAATAACCCAAATTAGGATGTATTTTTTAGTTTGTAGGAAAGTTATAGAGTTCACAAACTATGGTATAGATCTGAATATTGATCAATCCTGAAGTACTGACAGCCAATCTAATTTCTTGAGGTCCAAGAATGTCAGAATAGTACAGATATCCCCAAATGACCCCTTTTTGCAGAGTAGACAGTCCGACGTACTTCATAAGAGGCATGGCGAGTTTTTTGAAGTTGTATTTTTTGTCATAATTTTTCGGAAAATGAAAAAATTAAAAAAATTATTTTCACTATTTTTTTTTACATACTGTCACCAGTGCAGTACAGCGTCATCATATAACTGGCATGGCGGTGAACAGGGACACTGACTGGTGACAGTATGAAAAAAAAATATATATATATATTTTTTTAATTTTATTATTATATTTAATTTTTTATTACATTTTTTAAAAAAAATTTTTAAGATTTTTTTTCATATTTTACTATGACCAAAGTAGTACAATGTTACCATAGTAACATTGTACTACTTTGGGGAAGTGATCAGTTTTTTTTTTTTTTTTTTACACAATTTGCTTATAGCAAAGAATTACTTTGCTATAAGCAAGCATTTACCTGAATGAAATCGATTCATTCAGCTTTTTTTTTTTTTGTGCTTAGCTGTGATTTGGTCACAGCTAATCACATGACATGTGCATGTGATTAGCTGTGACCATTCACAGCTAGGCACTAGTATACAATGGATGGCATCATGAATGAAGCCATCCATTTTATACAACTGTCATGTGACCTGCTGTGATTGGTCACAGCAGGTCACATGGTACCATCAACGGGAGCCGGTACTCGGATCTGTCATCGGCCGTGTCCGAGGTGCACGGCCGGTGACAGATCGCACTGCTGCGCCGCTCTGCATTAGCGCAAACTGCGCATGTGCCGTAGCACGCCAAATGGCGTGCACCCGGAGTGCAGAGACACTTTTGAAGCCGCCAAACGGCCATCGGCCAGGCGGCTAATGGTTAATATGTGCCAATGTTTGTAAAAAATATCTTCTACTTCCTTATGTTGTATGTGGTAATTAGATATAAATCCCCATTGGTGTCTATCGTGGGAAACCGATTTTGACTTATCCATCAATAGTTGATCTCTGGTTAATCTGTATATTTGTTTCACTGTATCTTTAAGTTTATCCACTTTATAACCTTTATCCAAAAACCTATTAACTAAGATGTCTGACTGAGCCAAAAACTCACTCTCCTTACTGCAATTTCTTCTCAATCTCATTATCTGACCTTTAGAAATATTCCTCAACCATTGAGGATGATGTCCACTAAACATAGGTAAATAGCTATTTCGATCGGTAGGTTTGAAATAAGTTTTTGTCAACAGCGTATTAGTCTCCTTAAAAATAGTGAGATCCAAGAAATGTACAGATTCAGAACTATACCTGCTCATATAAGTGGTTAAACACAAACCTGTCCTCCCACTCTGCCATGAGCAGGTTAGCTATACTGGGCACAAAGCGAGCTCCCCTCGTCGCTCCCCTCATCACTCCCCTCTTCTGAGAATAAAAATTATTGTTATACCAGAAGTAGTTGTGGGATAAACAGAACTCAAGAGCATCTCTCAAAAATTTCTTCTGATAATATGGTAAATCATCTCTCTTACTTAAGGCCCAATTGAGTGCTAATAAAGCATCCTCATGTTGGATAATAGTGTATAAGGATGATACATCCGCTGTGACTAAATATATTTTAGAATAATTGGCAATCTGAATTTCACCCAAAAATTTCAATAGGTGTTTAGTATCACGTAGATAAGCCCTAGTAGAAGATACACTGGGTTGCAAGAAAACATCTAGGTATTGTCCTAATCTAGCAGACACTGATCCAATACCATTGACAATCGGGCTGGCAGCTTATACTTATTTTTATGAATTTTAGGTAGAGTATAAATCATGGGAATCCTACTCACACTAGAAATTAGGTATTGTTTTTCTCTCTTATTCAATACTCTAGTCCTATACCCCCAATTGACCAAAGATTTTAATTCTTCTCTAAACTTATTAGTGGGATCTCTTTTCATCATCACATAAGTATTAGTGTCAGCCAACATCTCAATAATCTGGTACTCCAGCTTATGGAAATCCAAAATACTCCATATAGTACATATAGATAGAAAGAACACTCACCATAGTGCAAATAACGTATAAAATTTATTCCAATAAATCCCCCTTATAAAACCGCACTCACGAGTCAAAATAAACAAGCGTTTTGTTAATAGGAGCACAGAGCTCTCAATCCAGCATCTCACCAGCCTTCCTGCAACCAAGATGGCATTGTTGCGATCACGTGGTTCGGACACAAGGGTTGGCATGCGTGGTGACGTCACCGACTAGCCACGCCTAACGCGTTTCATCAAACAACTTCTTCTGAGGGAGTGGCTGACAGTGCATGGAGCGCGCTCTTAAGGAGCTGCTTCCTTTTCGATTGGTCAATTAGCAAAAAAACACCTGAAGGCATATTAATCTGAATAGGACTACTAATTAAAGCACCACACCATTTCATCATAACAGCACCATCTTGTGTCTCAATAGCAAATTACAATTAAACACATAAACATATATAATTACATGGCTTTACAGTTATACAACTAAATAGCTGCAAAATTAAAAACAATCTCCCAAAATTAATATAAAATGAATTAAATTAGAATAAATAAAACAAGATATTAATAAAATACAATTAGACAAAATATATATATATAACAAAAGGAATATTATAGATCACTAATGAAACAATTCAAATTCAGTTTAACATTTAATCCCTTAGAGGCCAAAGCATCAGTCATATAAACCCATTTTGTTTCACATTTTGATAGTTCTCTAACTCTATTAGATCCTCTCCAAGCCTTAGGTATGGATTATATAGCCCAAAATTCGATATTAGTTGGATCACAGTTATGATATTTCTTAAAATGTAAGGATACACTATGATACTTGTATCCCTTAACAATGTTCTTTAAATGTTCAAGTACCCTAACTCTGAGCTGTCTCTTGGTCCTTCCAATATAAATTAAACCACATGGGTATTCAAGGCCATACACCACAAGTCAAAAAAGAGGAAATATTAAACTCTCTCCTATTAAATTTGGAAGTGAATTTAATTAATCCTTTAAGCCTATGATTAACCATATTACAGGCTGAACACTTCTTACCGGAATAGAAACCTTTCCTATCTATGAACATTTTAATAGGTTTAGGAGGGTCTAAGATTTTTTAAACGACTTTATCTCCAATAGTTGGAGCCTTCCTATAAATAAATACAGGTTTATCAGGAACGTGCTTCCCTTTATGTTTTGTCCATCTTTAATATGTGCCAATGTTTGTAAAAAATATCTTCTACTTCCTTATGTTGTATGTGGTAATTAGATATAAATTCCCATTGGTGTCTATCGTGGGAAACCGCCTTTGACTTATCCATCAATAGTTGATCTCTGGGTAATCTGCATATTTGTTCCACTGTATCTTTAAGTTTATCCATTTTATAACCTTTATCCAAAAACCTATTAACTAAGATGTCTGACTGAGCCAAAAAACTCACTCTCCTTACTGCAATTTCTTCTCAATCTCATTATCTGACCTTTAGGAATATTCCTCAACCATTGAGGATGATGTCCACTAAACATTGGCAAATAGCTTTTTCAATCGGTAGGTTTGAAATATGTTTTTGTCAACAGCGTATTAGTCTCCTTAAAAATAGTGAGATCCAAGAAATGTACAGATTCAGAACTATATTGATATTCCAGCTTAATATTATTGGGATTATTGTTCAAATTGTCAAGAAATTTCAACAGTTCTAACTCATCACCAGCCCAGATCATAAACAAATCATCAATGAATCTCTTGTACAGCAACACCGGCTCATGTGAGTGGTTAAACACAAACCTGTCCTCCCACTCTGCAATGAACAGGTTAGCTATACTGGGCGCAAAGCGAGCTCCCATCGCCACACCCCTCTTCTGAGAATAAAAATTATTGTGTTATACCAGAAGTAGTTGTGGGATAAACAGAACTCGAGAGCATCTCTCAAAAATTTCTTCTGATAATATGGTAAATCATCCCTCTTACTTAAGGCCCAATTGAGTGCTAATAAAGCATCCTCACGTTGGATCCTCATGTATCC